CTCCTGGCGTCCGCAACTCCAGAATGCCCCACCCACTGCTTCCAACATTGAATCCACTTTGTAATCGTCTTCCGTCTGTCCATCTCTGATTGGGTCCATCTCAGATCTCTGAGCTTCGCACTCTGCCTGTGCCATCTCCTGGAGCGTGCCAGGCGTACCGGACAACTGGTGAATATATGTTAGACTGTTAGACTAAGCCTTCTTTGTGGCACCACCCAGAAAGTAGAGACGAAATCCACTTTCGGTACATTTATGAGGGCCGTTGTGCTTTCTCGCGTGTTTGTTTGCTTTGCTTTGATTTTTTGTTCTCTCTCTCTCTCGCTCTCGTATCCCTGAGAACATGCAGCAGCCTTTGCATGCAAGGGGGTCACTATATATATATATACATATATATAAGGAACCCAAGCTGTTGCATTGAAACTCGGTGAATATGTGTTCATTCCTGTCAGCGCACCTTAGCATGGTACGCATCGTGGGACAGCAACAGGAGTTCCTCGTAGTCTCGCTCCTTGGCCTGCGCCACCAAGCCAAGCGATGCATGAGTGGCCCTCCCGCAGTGTATGATTAGAAGATATCAGAAGCCAGTGGCCCTCAAGGTCTTCCCTCTTAGATCCAAAAGGTCAGAAGCAATCCAAAGGCCCAGTCTTTCTTTTGCACTGATTTGGGATCTGCTTCTTGCCTATACTAACTATTGAGCGGTTCTGTAGATGGACACGTCCGGCAACTCAGACTTCGCGGAATACCAAACAACCAAAGTTTACCTTGTGGGCCCCACTATGACGGGGACATTCCACATTTCTTCAACATATGAATTCGATAATATCACAGCTTGAGTCAAACGCCTAGAAGGAAGCCTTGAAGCCTCCCAAGTGCCGATCATGTGCCCAAGAAATCCCCAGGCTCAGCTTTCAAGGACAGGAATCAGGCCTTGAGAGTCCCATGTTCCCACGTTCGCCTTGAGGGTCCTTTCGATTCCGGCCAGCTGGTTGTCAAAGCCCATTCGCTCTTCCTTGAGGCGCTTCACAATGGCCTGTTCTGCCGCCGTCCCAAGGCGGACGTCCAGGGGCAGTGTTCGTCGCATGGATTTGCAGTGTTGGATGTCCAAGGAGTTGGATGTCCAGGGCCAAGGTGTTTCAGGGGAGTGGTGGATGTAATGGTGATGTAATGATGCTTGGGCCCTCTCCGCATCTGTTGACATCTGCGGATGCACATTTCTAGTGGCCCCTGTTGTTCCAAAAAGGCTACCGAATGGTAAGGTACAGGAATTGCCGCCACACCGAATGGTCAAGGCGTGTCCGTCATCTCCTCTGCTCCGCGGGCCATGAAGGCGTGACCGTCGGGCCAAGTGTTCCCACTTCGGGATCGACGCTTCTTGTGCTGGTTATCAAGCTCCATGGAAAAATAATTTGTATTTTTTGAGGAATGTTCAGGATAAGGACTTAACCATGAAACTCAAAATGCTCTGAAGTCAGCAGTTTTTTCTCGGGATTAAGCTCGCAATTTGCACTTCAGCCTGGTTCTGATCCGTGAGTCCTTCACTCGTCACCCACTTGATCTGTCCCTTCACCTCCCACGGAAAACCATCGAATGCGAATGCACACCAGCCTCGTAGGTCTTGCGAATGCTTTGGGCCTGCAAAAGGTGGCTGACGTAGCTCTTGGAACGAATCCTAAACAGTTGCCTGAGATGGAAAATAAACAGCTCCCACAGTGCTCGGCAACTCTTATCACTTGCGAATGCTTGCGAACCAAAACAACGCGCACACACACACACACACACTTGGCAGCCAAACAAACTAAACTGTTGAGGATGCTCGCAAAAACAAACCACACGGAAGGCTAACTGCTCCATGCATCCACTGAAAACCAAGGAATCCACTCAACCTTGCAACCCAATGGTCCCATGGCCTCATTGTACTTGATCATCGTCTTGTCAAGTCGGTTTTCCAAGACCTCATCGGCATCATCGTGTTTGACAGATTGAGCGGCCAAGACTTACCCATGACTTAAAGGTCTTGCGGGTCTTAGTTCAAAGGTTTAAACAGGTTCCTTTTCACACCCACATTCCCAAGTTCTCAGACAGGTTCTTCCGAAGCCACAGAAGTGCTTTGTGTGATTGATATCATCACCTTCACAACCACAACATAGACACTCCCCTAAGGCGTCAAAAATTTCACTGCGCAAACTGCACCTTGTTGTGCAGTGCGCACTCTATCCAACAAAATGGACATGGACAGTTGCTCCTTGGAAGACTGAACGCTCCTCTTAACGACTTGGTGGGCCTTTTTCCACCAAAACCCAATGTGAGTGTTGGAGAGAGGCACAACTAAGTTTGCACAAACTGTATGGATCACGTCTGAATAACCTTGCAAGTGCTTAGGGCACTCCCTGAGGCCGCGACCGGTTTCCTCTTTCAAGGTATGAATGCTCCCGGCCCTCCTGACGTCCTCGTTTTGGGGGACCGCACCCGGATGTGTCGCATCTCCGGGGAAGCCTGGAGACTCGAACGAAGAATTGAGCGATGGAGGAAATGGATTATGTCCTAATAATTGGACTGACCCCCAAGCCCTTTCGCTGGAAAAAGAAGGGTTATACTGTTTAGTGCAGAAACCAATCCTCAAAAAAGGGTAAAGCATGGTAAAGCCTATCCACTGACTGGGTAGGGTACGTGGGGCAACTTTCTCCCGTGTTTTTGTAGGTCTCTCAAGTATAGAGGGAATTTGGATGAATTTTGGTATTCACTTGATTGTGTCATTCATTGGCCTGCGCACTGTCATTGATACACTGATGCACTCACTGAAGGGCTCTTTGCCCGACACTGTACTTGACCTGACTGGATCATGACTGCTGCTGCATTCTAGCAGGGGTCTGATATCAACATATCCGAACATATCCTGAAGATCAAGTTCTAGCCATGTAAATGTAGCTTTTGACCAAGTTAACCTGGGTCATTATGATCGTTTCCAGACTTGAACCATTGCCATGCAAACGGCGGTGTGCAATCGGCGAACAAAGTCCGAGCAACCGGTCGACCGGGCGTTTCAAATCTGCATATTTCTGCATCTACACTGTGAGCCGAAACCAGCATCCTGCCACTGAGGAGCAAAAGCTATTCATTCCATCACCGTACACATTCACCGACTGAAGATCGACGTTTGCCAGAACTCACACCTCTCCTTTCCAGAGTTTATGCCCCCTTTGAATAGCTTTGGCCAATACCACAACAACTCGACCAACCCACTTAACCTGTGCCTCGCTGGAATGCATGCTGGCGCCCATTGAGAGTTCCGACTGCTTGATTTCCAGCCTCAGGTCATGGTGAGGGATGCGAGCCGCTGGGACCATGTGTCTAGGGGAAGGAGGGAATGATCCCGTCAAATCATTGGTCAACCAAAACAAATATCGGGGACATGTTATTGCTGTTCCTTGTGCGGTTTTGGTTGAACAACCACGCTGAGTTGCAAGAAGGACCAACCAGAAATTTGTGCTTGGCTGCGGGTGACCGTTTACCAAAAAAGAACTTTCTCACTGTTCAGTGTCAGGGCAGCTGCTTCAGTGCTTGCTCGTGGGTCAACCCAGCCTTGGGCTGCACTAGACCCTCCCAAGAAAGGATCCCAAGTACAGCAAAAGAGAATTCAAATGGTCGACCCCAAATATTCCAACGAACATGTCCCGGCGTGGAGCATCTGACCGAAAGGACGATACTGTGGCTGTACGCATCCTAATGGTGTTTTAAGGGAGATTATAGGACCCTGCCCCCAGTCAAAAAGCCTTTTTGAGCTATCAAGCTCGTCTCCGAAGTCTGTCTATATGATCCGGATGTGGAATCCTTTGGTTGTTTTTCTTGTTCTCTCTCTCTCTCTCTATCTCTCTCTCTCTCTATCTCTCTCTCTCTCTCTCTATCTCTCTCTCTCTCTCTCTGTCTCTATCCGTCTCTCTCTCTCTCTATTATATTATATTATACTATATTATTATAAAGTATATTGTATTGTATTATATTATATTACATTATATTATATTATAAATATATATATACATATATGTATATTATATATGTGTGTGTGGCCTTCAAATGCTCATCCGCCTCTCAGAGACTCCGCTTGCTTTTCTGCCTCGATCATGTCTTCTGCTCAGGTTTTTCGCTACAAGGGTGCAGCAGGAAGTGATGCAGCAAAGCTCCAAGTGGAGTATGATTTGACATGGTCAACATTTAGGCATATGGTATGCATATATCATACACTCCAAGTCGGAAAGATCGGCTTCCCAAAAGGCCATTGTCTTCCATATGGTGAGGCCAAGGCTTTTCAAAGGGGGTACTGTCTTCGGAGCTTCTCCCATGGATGATGCAAGCATCGGGTCCCGCAAACACATGTGGGCGAAGCGGTGGGGATCGCGTGCACCCCAAGCGGTTCACCAGCCGATCTTCCACGAGGAGTTAGGCCGTTTCTATCCGTTTCTGATGTGCACCCAATGACCCTTCAAATGCGACGCATTGTATGGGGTGATCGGGGAAGAAATCCACCGTGGAAGGACCTTCCTGCTCTGTACAACTGCAGCATTCCAGCCTAAAACCATCACACAGTCAAGATTACACACCCTCCAACACTCCAAGTGTAGAAAATGCCTCTTTGAAAATGGGCCAGTTTCATGATGTCTTCAGTCTTTGCTCAACTTGAAGTATCCTAGGGTGACGTCTTGTACTGTGCGGAGTTCTCTGGAAAAGTGGCACCTTGCCACGGGTGGGCACACCCGTGGACAAGCAAACGCACCAAAACCCTTCGCTCGAAGGAGCAAGTCATCAGCAGGGCCATTGCCGGCAGAACAAGTGATTCTGCCACCAGCATCTTGCCGGAGGTTGGCCATCAACTGCTCGGCAGATATTGTGCTTGCAACATCTTACAGCAAGGACTAAAAATGTGTGTTTGTATAAATGCACAAATATATATATATATATATACACCTCCCGTGTCAAGGATGGCTCAAAGGTCTTACATGGTCTTACAACGGTCACTCATACTTGCCAACCAACCTCTCAGGTCTTGGGCCCATTCGTGGATTTCCCGCTCAATCTCTGCCAGACATATCCGAAGAAATAGCTGAAGTTCGAGAAGACCTCAGGACATTGGATCAAGTGGGGAGAGGGAGAATGAACATGGCAAAACCAAGGGAGGAGCTCCGGGAACCTCCGGAATTCCTTCTAGAACCTGCCCGGGCCTTTTGGCTCTCACCATCCCTCCGATATGAAACACCCAGAGCAAAATGAGAAAAGTGAGAGTCAAAAATGGGCATGAAAGTCCTCTGATCAAACCATAAGGACCCCTCTTGAGGCATCAGCCCAGGCTCTCTAAGTCTCTAAGACTAGTATGTGCATGTATCGCCGATTGGACACCCATCCAGATCTTCTACCCCAACCTGCAACCTGCAGTCTGCAGATCCACTATCCCATCCTACAAGTGTCTGCAGTCTTGGATTCTGTGGTTTTGACTTCCCACATCTCTCCAAGCTTGCTCTCCCTTCTTATTGTAGCTCATCCACTCGGGTTGCTGTGGTGATTGTTTTGGCACTATACAGAGGAGGCTGAACAGGCGGGGAGCTGTCTCGAGATTAGATTATAGGGATTAGATCCAAGTCTTTGCGAGATATATATCTAAAACATGTCAGAAAGGCTATAGGAAAATTACCTTACACAGAGTGAGCCCAATTTCCCGGAAATGTCGTGTGGGTCGCTCGGAAGTATCGCTGGCCTCCGGATGACCGATCATGTGGATTCTCATCTGGTTGTCAGGCTTCCGTACCCTTCTTTCAATACCCCACACTGTACAGGAAAGAGCGGTACTTTATCAGGCAAGAGTCCAAGTTCGGGAAAAAGAACATGGCACGAGAGACGCCTTGAATCACTGTCGAGAGGATGCCCTGCTTTGCGGCACCTAAGCTGGAAGGTGCTGAACGAACCGGCTGCCCCACTCACTCCAAGGTGGATATCTAATATCTAATCTAGAACGCTATAATTTCGGTGTATTGTATTGTGTACATATGTATTTGACGATATTTGCATACAGTATATGAAACCAGGGGATGCTCCCAGGGTTACGTTACCTTCATCCCCACTAAGTATATACAGTTTGACTCTTTTCTCCTTCTCTCTCTCTCTCTCTGTTCTTTGCCAATGTCTTGCAACAAGGGGGCAAAAATCCTGCAATACACATACCAAAACTTGCTGATCATCGCAGTTTCTTCTCTCTTGAATCATCTGCTTCTCCTGCGGTCTTGGCTGCTCAGGGACCACATCATTGGTCGAATCCTTCCCAAAGGCTTTGCACATGCCTTGCACCGGAACAATTGCCAAACCAAAAAACAGCATCAAACAGCCAAGCACAAAAACGGTTTCCTATTCTGGAGGGAAATCATGCGCACAAGGAGGCCCGCAAAAGAATATCCGCGCCAAGTTGCTCGCAAAAACCGCTTTGGACTTCTTATCTGCTTCCTTTTGGTCAGCAATGGCCTGTCTTAACAGGATCTTTGCATCCCGGTTTTGCTGGTCCAGCTGAAGGACCTTCTTGCAATCAGCGATGCACTCGCTGAAATTTTTGAGTCCCATCTCCGCCTGGGCAGAAACAACAACGTTTTCTTGGAAATACCCCGAGTGGTGGGATTCGCCATGCTGGCTCTGAAAAAGCATGGCGAATCCGTCGTCTGACGTCCTGACCTGGCGTTTCACGACCCCCTTGACGTTTGTTGTTTTCTTCTCAAGAAAATTGAACTCATATATGCTCCAAAATACTTCAAGTGCAGATGATAATGAGGTCTTGCTTCAACTTATGTCCAAAACTTACTTACTTGCTTGCTTACTTACTTACTTTACTTTACTTTACCTTACTTACTTACTTATCCGCCGACCCCGGCCGACGCAAGGGGGAGCGCGCCAGGGAATAATGATAGATCCGCCAGAACTCAATCGTTTGGAGCAGAACTCAATGGGTTAAAGCCGTGGCGAAGGGGTGGTTTCAGATGCTTTTTGGGAGGCTGGTTAGTGGTGGAAAATGCTAGCAAACAATCCAGAGAGCAGGCAATGAAACGCTCCGCACGGGCACGGACCTCGACACCGGAAAGAAACGACGATTCCAGAAGAGCAACCTTTAAAAGGACGACTGAAAGCCCTGTTCGAAAAACCCTCGCAATGCCAACCAGTGGAGGAAAAGCCGGACCTGAGAATCCGGGGTCGGCGGCAGGGGCGGCAGCCCTTAAATCCGGGCGCCGGCCACGCGCACGTTCCCTTGCCGGAGGCCTTCGGTTGGTAACCGAAGGTTATATACGCTCGCGCCCCCCTGCCGCCGACCCTTTTGTTGGACCTCGCGTATACCCCGTGTCGACCCCCGCCCGAATCCGGTCGACAGATTTTTATGTCATTTATATTTTATCTACCACCATGGTTGTGCATGATGTGGAAAACATCGTTTTTTACAGTGTTTCGTGGCCTTCGGCGGAGACGACTTGCGCCTAACAGGGCGCCGGTGGTGTCGGTTATGCGTGCCGCGCGGACAGGCTTAATCGACATTTCGTTTGTGTTGGGCACAGAAGTTGCCTAACATATCCCTAACATAGGCCCAAGATAGCCAACATATCCCCAACATAGCCTCCAAGATGGCTCAACATAGGGCCAACATAGGCCAACATGGGGCCAACATACGCCAAGATAGGCCGAACATAGGCCCAACCTAGGCCAACATAGGCCTAACATAGGCCGACCTAGGCGCAACATAGGCTCAACTTGGGCCCAAGATGTGCCCAACATAGACCACGTGGGCGCAACTTGGCGCAACCTAGGGCCAAGATGCGCACCAGATAGCTTAACTTTGCTCAAGCTTAATCGACATTTCGTGAGCGTAGGGCACCCGCCAACAGCAAAGGCGGAACATGTGCTCCGAGATGATCTGAAAAAGGCCTTCAAGAGGACCTCACCTAGTCCCAGCCTATGGTATACATAGCCGCAAGATGACCCGACCCAGGTCTCACATATGGGAAACATAGCCCCTAGGCGGGCCCAGATTGCCTCAAGATGTGGCAACAGGCCTCACATAGGCTCAACTGGGCCCAGACTGCCTCAAGATGTGGCAACATAGGTCTCACACAGTCTCAAAAAGAGAGAGAGAGAGAGAGAGAAAGAGAGACAGCGAAGACAGAGACAGTGACTACAGAGAAGACAGAGACAGAGACTACAGAGACAGAGACCGACAGAGACAGAGAGAGAGAGCGGAGGGAGATAGGAGAGAGAGAGAGAGAGAGACGGGGTGGCAGGACATGTGCAAGACGGCTCTCCCGACTTCGGCGTGTATACGCCCGGGCGGTCAGCCCCCTTCTCGAGAAGGACGCTCCCGAGACGGTCAGCCCCCTTCTCGAGAAGGATGCTACCGGGACGCCCGAAGTCCCGGTCCCCGTCTTGCACAGGGAGGGGTTGTTCGGCCCCCCACCGACTGAAGATGTAGACGGTGCGCATCTGGCGAGAACGAATTCGCGGACATTGCACTCTGCACGCATCGTTCACAGTTTCACAGTGTCTTGCAGTCTCACCGCTCTTGCGGCGCTCGCTGACCGGTCTTTTTTTACTGCTACGGCTGGTTGTCGCATGACGTTGACCGCGTGAGCGATGCTCTGGCGGAGGCTAGAGCGAAGGCGCATACGAACCAAGGAACTGTGCGGTTGGACGCACGCGGCGTCGAAGGTTCGACCGCTTCTTTGGCTCTGTTTCGACCGCTTCTCCTTCGGAGTTTGCAATGCGACTCTGACAAAGTCATGCGCTGGCAGATGGTCCAACCGAACCTTTGGCTCCAGAGGCCCACGAAAACGAAGTCATGGCCGAGGCCGTTCGGGAGCACACAGTTGAAACTCTGCTATCGTACAACGCATTTCTGGGCTTTTGACTCTGGAATTTCTCTGAAGTGGGCGGATTAGGCTTTTGCCGGGCATGAGTGATGCTCTTGCGAACTTGGCTGCAGGGGCTGCGCGATGCGTTGGCCCTCGGGTAGGGGATGAAATGGCGCTGCCGGGGTGGTTCTGTGCACCATGTCTTTAACCATGGAATTTCTATTAGGCGGGCGGGCTATGGTTTTGCGGGGCGTGAGCGATGCTCTGGCGGACTTGGCTGCAGCGGCTGCGCGATGCGCTGGCTCGGATGAAATGGTGCTGCCCAGAGTGGTTCTGTGCATCCGGTTTTAATGGACAATGGAATTTCTATTAAGTGGGCGGACTATGGTTTTGCTGGGCATTGAGCGATGCTCTGGCCTTCGGGTAGGAAATAAAATGGTGCTGCCCAGGGTAGTTCTGAACGATGGAATTTTTATACAGTGGGCGGACTGTGGTTTTGCTGGACTTGAGCGATGCTCCGGCGGACTTAGCTGCAGCGCCTGCGCGATGCGCTGGCTAGGATGAAATGGGGGTTGCCCAGGGTGGTTCTGTGCATCAGCTTTTGGAGAATGGAATGGAGAATGGAATTTCTATTAAGTGGGCGGACTATGGTTTTCCTGGGCAGGAGTGATGCTCTGGCCTTCGGGTAGGAGATAAAATGGTGCTGCCTAGGGTGGTTCTGTGCACCAAGTTTTTTAACAATGGAATTTTTATTAAGTGGGCGGACTATGGTTTTGCCGGGCATGAGCGATGCTCTGGCGGACTTGGCGGCTGGCTCTCGGGTAGGGGGTGAGATGGTGCTGCCCAGGGTGGTTCTGTGCACGAGGCTTTTGACCATGGAATTTCTATCTGCTGTGGACTGCGTATGTTGCACGTCACAGCTTGCACGCGCTGCTTTCTGGGCATAGGCTTCTACACTTTGCGACGCCTCTTCCTTGGCACGCCACGCTGATTCTGGTCGCGGCACTTTGCACACATCCAAGTTGGTAGAACTTTGACATGGTAGCCACTTTTTCGTGGTCGTGGCTGACCACAAGCATCACATGGCGGATAGCTGCATTGCATGCACAAAGTATCTGCTATAGCCTGGGACTCTAGCGACTGACCACACTGGGCGCATGGCTTCACTGCGCACTCTGGGCAAGTCCAAGTTGGTAAAACTTTGACGTGGTAGCGACGTTCACGTGGTCGTGGTTGACCACAAGTATCACACGGCGGATAGCTGCATTGCACGCACAAGGTATCTGCTGTGGCCTGGGACTCTAGCGGGTTACCGCACTGGCTGCAAGGCTTCACTTTGCACTTTGCGCAATTCCAAGTCGGTAAAACTTTGACATGGTAGCGACGTTCACGTGGCCGTGGCTCACCACAAGTCGCACACGGCGGATAGCTGCATTGCATGCACAAGGTATCTGCTATGGCCTGGGACTGGAGCGACTGACCACACTGGCTGCATGACTTCACTTTGCACTCTGCGCAACTCCAATTTGGTAAAACTTTGACGTGGTACCGACTGTCACTTGGTCGTGGCCGACCACACACTTGACAGGGGGGGATAGGCACATGCGGCACACCACGCGCCGGCTGTTGCACTGGAAGGCAAGGGTTTGGCACAGTTACCACAGAGTTTAGGATTAGCGACACATTCTTTGCATGTTCCCGTGTTGTTATCGGCGGTGTAGTTGGAAAGGTTAGGAACGGCAACCACTTTCTCACACTGAACACAGCGGCCTTTCTTGCCTTGGCATTCCGGACAATGCCAAATTGGATGTTTCTTGGCGTGGAGCCGCCTTTTTCCTGCTTGAGGGCGTGGCTTACCACATCCGCCCGTGCAAGGAGGGTATGCACAGGGTTTGCACCACGTGCCTGGAGTTTGACTTGCCTTCAATGGCTGGCCACAGTTGGCGCAGGTTTTTGATGCCCGCGCCTGCTTGGCGACACATGTGCGGCACACTCCCGTTTGCGACTCTGCGGTATAGTGTTTGAGATGTGGCACACTCACAGTCTTATTGCAATCTCTGCACAAACCTTGTTTGGAAGTGGCTGCGACAGGGGTGGTAGCACACTTTTTGCAGCGAACGCGTCGTAGTTCTTTAGTTTTTTTTGCGTCTGACTTCTTCCGGGTCGAAGTCTGTCAAGCGTTTGGTTTTGATTTTCTTGCCTTGGTCACATCGGCTGCAGGCTAAACGTTCTGTTTTGACACACTCCGAACAATAGCCAGTTTTGTTGGCCGGTCTGGCTTCAGGGCAATATGGACAAGGATGCATTGCTTCAGGGCGACTGGGTGGTTGTGTTCCGCTCTGCTTAGCTTTGCATTGGAGACATAGGCGACACATGCCTTCGGATAAGACTTGGTACCATTCGTCCTGGTCCCATGCCGTGACAAATTCTCGCAGAGGCAGTAACTTCTCTTGTCGATGTGGCTGTGGGCTGCAGCCGCGGCAAAACAACATGATGTCACGATTTCTTTTCTTGCTTGGTTTGTCTTGACTAAATCGAGCTTTTGCTTCTTGTGGCGTGAGCTTGCCGCGATGAACTTCTAGAAAAGTGTGTGGGCCTATCAATTCCCCATTGGTGAACAAGTTGGGGGGAAAAGGGTTGGGCTATACACAAGTCTTCGGCTTTCCGAACTCGGGACAAGCACATGTAGCCGCTCAGTTGAGCCTCGCGGGACGCGGTGGAATCCCAGTGGCCGAGATCAAG